CTGATACAAGCCAGGATGCCACTGGCGTTCTTGGCCACCTGGGCACTTCTGGGCTCATTTTCGGCTGCTGTTGACCAGCACTCCCAAGTGTTTTTTCCACTGGGCCACTTCCCAGCCACTCTGTCCCCAGCCTGCAGTGCTGCACAGGGTTATTGTGGCCAAAGTGTAGGATCCCACCTCTTGGTCTTATTGAACCTCATCCAACTAGTCTTGGCCTGCCGATCCAGCCTGTCCAGATCCCTCTGCAGAGCCTTCCTATCCTCCAGCAGATCAACACTCCTACCCAACTTTGTGCTATCGATGACCTGACTGAGGGTTTACTTGGTTAAAGACACATTACAAATAAATCCTATTCCAACAGGAATAAAAAAAAAAAAAGCCCTGGGAAATATAAATATGAAGGCTTAGGAGTGAGAATAAGTCAACAGGAATACAAGCCAGCAAAAGAATGGCATATACACTTTATCTCAAGATAAAAAATCTGCACCAAGACCTCCTGCCTTCTGAATTATAAGGAAGGGATCCATCCCATTTGGTTTTTGTCATATGCCATATAAGCATCCATAGTTAATCTGGTCAATCTGGAATTGTTCAAGTCAATACAGAGAAACAGGTGTCAGTAGACCATGAGCCATTTTACCTGTATATCTCTGTCTGTATCTATATATCTTCATGTATATAGGTGTCTGTGTGTATGTGTGGAATAAATAAATAAATATGAACATATATTACATAATAATATATTTATTATTATAATATATAATATATATTTATTATTACATATATTTAGGCAACAAGGTGAGACAAACTGCTCTGTAAAGGGACATGCTCCTCCCCATTGCCTGCCTCAGACACAGACACTTGCAGTCAGCCAGATGAAACCCATCTTACCAGGCTGAGGTGGCTAAAGAAAGGCAGAAGAACGATTCAGACTTCACCAATTCCCAGTAATGTAAGTACATGTCAAGTATTGTGTGTGTTTGAGCCTGTCCTCAAATGCCTTTGCTCTGGGTTCTCTCTCTCTCTCTCTGCAGCTACGAAAGGAGCTGTCAGATTAATCAGCTGCCACAATCTGCAGTATCCTTCTCTGAGCTGGAGCAATAATGTAGTAAGTGTTGTGGAAGGGACTGGCCCAAAATAGTTGGGAAGAGGAGGGTGTTGATGAATGCATGTATACAGTGAAATATAAGTGGATCCAGTCAGCTTTTCAGCCTGTGTGCAGGGGGGTAAATGGGTTTAATTTCCGAGAGGAACAGTTTGAGAAGGAGAAAAGTGTGACTGCATTTGACCCATCTGAGTAGGGGAGAGGCGGGGGGACATCAGGTGTCCAGCAAAGCAGGCCTGTTTGTGGGGAAGGTGTTGTGTGGGCTGAAATAAGAGTGCCATCATCCAGAGCTCTTGGTTGAGTGGTCCATGTGTACCCCTGGCCGCTTGGGAGGGGCTGCAGTTATATTAGCAATGCATCTGCTATATGCCAGGACAGGGAGAAGTGTTTTTGGGAAGCAGTTTCAGGCAAGGGTCTTTCCCCATCTGCCCATGATAGGGTGCACTCCTTCAACCAGTACTCTGTAGGTGAAAATTCACTCTATCCCCATAAGAATTAAGCTGCAATATTTTCTGCCTCCTTCACGCACTGCATTTGAGTGTCCAGGCTTCCTCCTCTTTTGCCACTGGTGGTCTTGGAGTTGCTGCACCAATCTGTTTTCTTCTGTGGCAAGTCATCAATATCACGGGTTTGTGTCTGAACACCGCAATTCCCTGAGAAGTCTTCCCTACAACAGGAAAAAGTCTTTACTACAGGAGGGAAGAAGTAAGTTTTCTATGGCTTTTTCTATATTTACTATGAGAAACCATAGAGCACTTTTCGTCAGAAGACACCACTTAGGATTTCAGTTAGTTTCATTTATTACTCAGTTACTGTCTTGCCTGGTATCAGCAATTTCATCACTTCTTCCACCACAGGGGCAGTGAAATGTAGATAATTCTTGACACTTTTTCACTTGCTGTATTTTCAGAAATCCTACAATGACCCAAAATCCTACAATCTGCACCATGCTTGACCATCTTCACTAAAGCATGCTTCGAAATATTGTCTACACATTATATGGCTTTATCCTGTCGTAAATTGGCAAAAATCCACTGCTGATGAGGTTTCACAAGGTCCTCCCTTCCTCCTTTTAAAGAAAAATCCTCATTCAGCTGAGAAACAGATCAACCAGTTACTAGTAAGGAACATGAAGAGAAACTGGGACGGGGATTAGCAAAGAGGGAGGAGAAGAGGAGAACTCTCAAATGTCAGATAGGGACATCTTGGCTTAACTAGTCTGGGGACAGTTAAGGAACAGGAACTGCCTCGGTGCATCTCAGTGTATTAACAGAAACAGCGAGGAGGCCAGACTGAAACAGGTCTGAAGCACGAAGTTGTCATGACGTGACTCAGCAATCAGGGGGATGAGGGAAACAGAACTACGTGGTTATGGTGGCAGATGCTCCCCACATTTCCAGGTTAGTTAGCCAGGGAGAGGGAGACTGATTGCACAAACTTATCTGAAACCAACATATTTGCATAATTAGCCCTAATTTCCCCATGGGGTTAATTTTCTGCCCATTGTTTGAACTGCCATTCTCACTTCCACACTGGCTGGGACAAAGTGTGCTTTTTAGAATCATAGAATCCCAGAATGGTTTGGGATGGAAGGGACCTTAGAGGTAATCTGGTTCCAACCCCCTCTGCCTTGGGCAGGGACACCTTTTGCTAGACCAGGCTGTTCAGAGCCCCATCCAGCCTGGCCTTGAACACTTCCAGGGGTGGGGAGCCCACAGCCTCTCTTGACAACCCGTTCCAAAGTTTTTTTGTTTCAAAAGCTCTGATTCCTCATTTCCTTGTGCCAGTCCTTGAAAACTGAACCAGACAATCCAAACCCCACTTACTTAATACCAAAGAAGATATTCAGAAACCTAAGCAGTGCAACAGGGAGATGGCTGGTCTGGTCAACAACTCTTCCACTGCTGGGGATTTTTTGTTTAGATTTCACATCTCCCTCGTTCCATCTCACTTACCTTATTGTCTGCTTGGTGAGTCACACAAAGACAGCAGGAATGACAAGCAGGGCAAAACAGACAGCTGTTAGAACAGAAAATCAATATGGTTAGCACCTGGTGTAATCTTAATTATTGCAGAATTTTCCCATGTTTCCCCATTGCTTTGCTCCCTGGGGCAAACAGGACCCATCCAGAGGCGGCTTGGGCAGCTAGAGGTTGACCACAGCCAAATGGCCAGGGACTACTCATGCTGTGGTCTCAGGAGTAGTTTGCAATATCCCTCCCTCCTTTATGTCACACCATTATTCCTCCTCATTATAACGTGCACTGCAGTTGCTGGCAGACTCCAGCTGGAATCAAGAGCCCTTGTGCAAAGTCTTGAGCACAGAAACAGTAAAAGACAATTTCTATTTCAGCAGATAATGGCTGAATGGAAGATAAGGAAGGGGAAGAAGAAAATATCTGCAGGCTGATCTAAATGCATCAGTTTAGCTGTGAGGAAATGTTTTGTTTGACCAACTTTTTTTAGCCCTTTGAAAATGTGAAAGAAACACGTAATTTAAATATTTACATTTTTTTTCCTGCTTTTTTTCCAGTTGAAGTGATTCACTGAATCCACAGAAAGTCTCGGAGAAGAATCTGAAAATGGCTTCATTTAAAAACTAGATTTTTGGTTGATCTGTTTTCTTTTACATCCCTTAGGAGTCTAGGGAATCTTCTTTATAAAGAGTTCAAGTGCTTAAGTAATCTGTTTATACTGTCTTTAGTAACTTCTTGTCCAATACATGTACATAGGTTTGTCCTGAAGTGTATTTATTAGCTTTCCTAACAGAAATGGAGTTGTTTGGTAGAACAGCAAACTGAAAGGCAAAACAACTGCTCTGGGTGATGAAGTCTTTAACAAAATGACATACCTGTCACTGCCAGTGTCACTGAGGAGGAAGAGGATGGATGAGTTGAACCTGTGAAGAGAGAGAAGTTCTTGATTTTTGTGTCAATTTACCCTTCTGACAAACAGCATCAGAGCAGCATTGAGAACACAGTCAGGTAAAGAACCAGGTTGTTCCAGCATCAAAGAGGTGGTGAGGGCAGAGTCTGACGGCTCCCCCTCTGCACAGAAGACTTAATAATTGCCATGTTTGTTTCTCGGCCATCAGTAGGTGTTTCCAGCCTGGATATCAACATATGTGCTGGTATGATATGTGTTAATGGTGGGCATGAAGTGAACTGGAATGAGATCCATCTGAGATCTCTATTTCATATGAGATGGGGAAGGATGAATTTCAAGGCGCCAGGCTAGGATTTGGAAACATGGTTTCAAACGGGATGTGTTTTTGCCCAGAAATATAAGCCAGAACTCCCCTGGTGCAAAAAATTCATTGGATTTCTCTCTTATCCCTTAAAGGAAGCTCTGAACTTGTGCCAGTATGAGATATGGAGGTTTTTAACAAGAAGTTCTGTAAGAGTGGTCTCTTGATAAATCTCTTTGTGCTGAGTGCTGGGGGGAAGAACTGAGAGAGGGGAGGATATTTCTTTTCAAGCCTCATTGAAGACATCACGTATAACAAATAGAAAGGCAACACTTTAGGGGAATAAATATTTGATGCTCTAATTACAAGAACCTTGCCTTGCTCAGATTTGAGTGCATTTTGCAGGAAATTGGAATTATTGTTCTGCTGAATTGAAGACTGAGGGCCTATTTTTTTATCCAGTTTGATTTTTATCCTTCATAATCCTAATTTCAAAATTTTAAAATATTTGTAATTTTAAAATACTTGTAATTTCTGACCATTCAATAGGGCTGGTATATTGGTAGGTTATTCCCATCATGGCAAGAAGTGCCTTCATTCTGATAGTACCAAGCGAAATTTTCAATGGAAAAAGGATTACTGTTGTGATGGAAGAGGAAAGACCAGACAACACATTGTTACTGCTGTACCTGGAACACTCTGAACTGGTCACCACTTGGAAACAGAGGGATCTATAAAACAGGGGGCAAAGTCCTGGATTAATGCTGAAACTGTGTGTCTGGTGAGTCAGGCCACCTACGCCCTCTGTTGGTTATAAAGGCAGTCCAACTCAGATGTGGGCACCTATGCAGTAGACATCTACAGTTCTGCAAGATTATTTTCCTCTTAAAGCTCCAAGTACTGGTGAAACCCTTTGTGGTTTTTTTTTTTCCTTGCAGTCTGTTGGCAGGAAAAGTCCTCTCGTGTTGTCATTGCATTGGCTCCCACCTCTTTAAAAATCAGCCCGTTTTCACTTCTCTGACTCAGAGGAGGGTCATAGAAGCCTGAGGACTGTAGAGGGTGTGGGCAGCTGGGTCTACCCACCTTCAGTAGCTCTTCTTGCTGCCCAGAGGGAGCCCCAAACCCTCAGTGCTGTCACAGGTGCAGTTTTGCAGTTAGCATGAAAGACAAAGTAGGACGCAGCTGTGCCCTCCCCAGAGGTGTCATCTCCAGCAGTCAGAAATGATGAGTTCCCTGATCTCTCCATCCCAAACCCCCCAGCAGTTTGTTCCCTAGGATTGATGTGCTGAGTTGGGGGGGGTGTCTGTACCCTGCATAAACAGGTCACGACAGCGACGTGGCACAATAAAAACCATCTCACCTGGCTCAGTGGTCTGTGGTGGCCACACGATGCTGTCGTTGGTGCATTGCAGGTCAAGGGGGGTCCAGACGATGCTGCTGTTCACCTTCTTGCACGTGCTGGTGCCAGAGGTGGGGGGCAGCTTATCATAACCACTCTGGCATTTGAAATGTAGCACTTGTCCCAGGTAATAGGGTTTCTTCGGTCTTATGGAGGCGTGTGGAACAGGCGGGGGGGGACCACAAAAATCTGTGGGATCAGAAGGCAGCACACAGCTAAAGCAGATGGATTTTACACACTGCTATTGCTCACAAAAATTATGATTTGCATTCTTACAAAGTACAGGCAAGCAGGATTTACCAAGCCTTCCTTCTCGCTTGCAGCATATCACTTGTTCAGCCAAGATATTACAGCTATCGTTTTTTTCCCTCTGTCTGCAAAATTGTTAAATATTACTCATCGTTGTTACACTGCTTCCATGGAAGTGTTACATTATTGAATGGGCTCTTATTTACCTTTCTGGGCAAACTCTGAAAGGTCGTCTTGCTTCTGGGGTGCAGGGCTCCTTGTTGTATTTTCTGGTTTCTGTGTAAATTTGAACTCCATTGTGGGAGCTGTTGGCAAGAAAATTATCTCATCCGTGGGAGAAGTTACAGTTGCTGAATTACAGTAGGATGAATATCAGAGTAAAGCCAGTGCCTCCAAACTTTTAGGGGTGGGATAGAACTGTTTTAAGTTCTAACTTGCAAAGATAAGCACAAAAGATCAATTGTTAGAGCGGTGCACAGATCTGTCTTATATTGACTAACTCACTGGAAAAACACATCTTGTAGAGGTGTTATAAGTAATGGATGGGCTCCTACTTACCTTTCTGATCAGACTCTGAAAAGTCTTCTTGCTTTTGGGGTGCAGGACTTTGTGCTTTACTTTCTGGCTTCTGTGTAAAATGTAACTCCTCTGTGGGACCCGTCGACAGCAAAGTCTTCTTATCTGAGGAGAAGTTACATTTGCTGAATTACATCAGGACAAAGAGGAGAACAAAGGCAGAGCACCCAAACTTTCAGAGGTGGGATAGAATTGCTTCAAGTTCTAACTTGCAAAGGTAATCACAAAAATAATTTGTTAATGCCCAGATGTGATTTATACCAACTAATGCATTGGAAAAATACGTCCACGTATAGAAAAAGGACAACACTCACTTACCAATGCATTCAAATCCACTGTAGTCCCAAGAGGCACCCTGCTGTCCACTGTTACACTGAATTCCTGGGTGATGGCCACTTTTTCTGTCATAGCCACTGTCACATGCATAGTACAGCTTCGTCCCTGGCACATAAGCTTCAGCACCGACATCAGCAAATTCCCTCGTTGGAGGATCTGGGCAATTTTCTGCAAAGAGAAAGCCTGAGAATAAGGACAGCCTGTCATTCCACTTCATCCATCTCACATCTTTCAGTCTTCTCAATACCAGGCACGTCCAGCAGATGGGCAACACGAAACATATCAACGTTTTCTTAATGAAGCTGTACACAATCATACTGGAGAGCAGTTAGTGGGACCAGAGTGTGTAGCCCTGAGCCTATGGAGTGAGGCACAGTGAACCAAACTCAGTCATTAAAAAGTTGCAACCATCTATAAGCAAACCTTGGGAATGGGTATAGACTCACAGTTCTGTCTGTGGATACCAAAGAGCAGTTTACTGTGAAATAAGTTTGCAAACCTAAATATAACTTGTCCCAAAACAAAGGGCACAAAGTGTGGTGTCATCAGCAAATCACATCTAAATATGCTTCTCAATAAGTTGGTATTAATTAATTTGTATCATTTCAGTGCACTTGAAAAGCCCTCTGAAGCTGAGCTGGAGACCCAGAAGTTGATAGAGGCACTACTTAATGATTATTTAAGGACTAAAGGCTGAGAAATTAAAATATAAGATAGGCTGGTTGCACCAGGGCTGGCACTCTGCATCTTTGGGTGCATAATCTGTGGCCCTTTATGCTTATGCATTATAGTAACAGCTATTATGAGTAAAATTTCTCAGTCATCTTGTCCTCACATTTTCTGCAGCTATAATTTATGCAGCCTTAGCAACCAGTGAGAATGACTGTGAAAGGTCTCTGAATCCCTGATAGCTGTTCATCATCTGGTGTCTGCCCTTGAATCCCAAAGTGCCTTCTCCTTGAAAGACCAACAGCAACTCAACCTGCAACTGCCAGCCCCAGCCCTGTGATGCCCTTTGCTTTCGTTTCCTCACTTCGATCTTTTCTGCCCTTTTTTTTTTTTTTTTTACTTTTCATTATCTTGCTGCTTTACTAAAAGTCACAAAGTTTGAAGAAGGCAACAGTGAAAAACATGTGAGCAGCTTAACAGCTAATCTGCATAAGGGATGTTTTAATCCCCTTGTGTCTTTCTGCTATCAAAGGATTCGCGTTGTAAACTACATCAGAGTGTGGCTTTGAGAGGAGCAACTGCACCCGAAATAGTTAACCACACGGTTTACCACAGACTGTCAGGGTGATTAAAATTAAAGAGTTATCAGATTAGCAGCAAGTTGACATCATGTACTCTCACTTTCCCTGAAAGCTAAAAGCATGTTTCCCTCAAGACTTCAAAAGCCTCTTTGAAGCAGACTGCAGATGTGAATCTCAGCACGAGGCGCTCAAACCTACAACTCATTAGTCTCTTCTTAAGAAAACCCACAACATTTAACCTACTCATCACAAAGGGCAAACGCTGTTTTAATTGATGATCAAATGAAGTTGGGTTCTTCTGAACTTGCACACATCAGACAAGGATTGTGCAGAAATGGTGCACGGCGGAGACGGCGAGCAAAGCCCACCAGGCTGGATCAGCTCACCCACACTGCAGCTGGATCACACACAGCCTTCCCAGGATCCAGCCTTTTAATGCCATCCACATCACTCAGATTCTTCTCTTCTCACATCTAAATAGCTGCAGCATCTCCTTCTTTGGCCTTTACCACATTCCCTGTTTGTTGATCCGGAAAGAATTTTGTAAGATTAATTTCCTAGATCTCATTGTGACCTTCTTCTTGCCTCCCTTTGAATTCTAACTGCATCACTGTCATGACAAATATTTTGCTTCCACTCTCAAGAACCTTCTTCTTAGCAACCATCATAACCTTTCAAAACATTGGCTTCTGTTCACATGCTATTACTCCTCACTAGTGTGTTTGATATCAAAGTCACCAGCTTTTGGTTTTTTTTTTTGTTGTACCAGTCTTCACACTGGGAGGAGCTGTGCATGAATATGGATATTGCAAGATACATATTACCATGATTGCTCTTCACTGTCTCAAAGCATCTTATATATCTTCAGAGGTGCTTCTCTTTCAGTGGTCTTCTACTCATCTTTCAAGACCAGGTAGGCACTCAACATGTAACCCATAGAACCTCCTGTCAGGTTGAGACATAAGGTCCACCCTGAGAATCCTTTTCTCCAAGTTGAGCCCCACCCCAGCTCCCTCAGACACTCCTCATCAGATTTGTGCTCCAGACCCTTGCCCAGCTCCATTGCCCCTATATCCTATTTTTCATCCCCATGGTGAGGTGTTTAGTGTCACTAATTTTTTCTCTTTCAACCCCAGTGTCCACTGTTCTCCCTTTCCTTAATTCACAAGATTCATCATCTCTCTACCTGACATTCTCATCTCACACACCCCAAAAAGTGCCCTGGGAATCCATTTCTCTGAACTTAGAGGTACTAAATGGACCAAACAGAGAGTTTGATGTAATTGTGTTCACGGGATTTACCCCTTCTATCAGCTGCAGAATTGTGAGAACATGTAGTTCTCCTAGGGCACAGGGGGATTTCTGTTTCTCCCCATATTAGTGGGGTTTTGGTGCATACAGCATTTCTGGAAATGCTGGAGCTGGTTTCAATTATAATCATAAAGTATGTGGTGATAAACCCTTGGAATTAGAAGGGGACTAGTGAATTCAGACAAAAGACATCAATGAAATGTAGAAATTAAAACATTAAAAAATATTATTTTTTCTGCTAGGGTTCAGATAAGTCAATAAGTTTTTTGAGACCTGCAAGCCTTGTCATCTGAACCAAAAAAATAGGTGGGATTCCTGCTATTCCTACTTAAGCTACAGTGCCTGATGCCATTTGAGGTGTCTCAGGACCCCTGGGACCTCCACATCAGCACAGGAGTTACTGGAGGGGAAGAAACACCAGCATCAGTTCTTTCAGCACTTGGGTTTCTTCCCTGAGGATTCCCATTCAAATATGTTACTGACCCAATCACAAAACTGCTCTCAGCAGATGTGCTGGCAGTATTAGGGTTTATGAAGCTCTCCTGCCTATTTCTTTTCATGTCTGAGTTGGCAGAGCAGTGACAGATGAGGCACCAGAACAACACCTTTTGTCCACGAGAAGCAAACAGGGAAAATTTACAAGAGGTATTTTTAGCGTTAGGTAAAACACAGACAGTGAGTCACACCACGACAACCTGAACTCAGAATTTCCTCTGTCACGTGGCTGTGTGTCACCAGCACTGACATTACTCTGACGTGAAGTTAAAACGTCAAGGTGCAGAAATAGAACGATTTTCCCCTAAACACAAAGGCAGCAAGATAGGATCGGTAGGAAACTGGGCGTTCTGAAGATTTGGGTAGAAGCAGTGCAAGAAACCGGGCACTTCACACACCTGCCCAGTTCAGAGGGGAAAAGCACCTCTCCCCAGGGAGAGCAAGAAATCAAACCAGGCCAAAATGAAGATACTTCCCCAGATGTGCCTGAAGGGGCAAAGCAGCCCTGAGGATTCATGTGCCGGGGGAAACTGTGTGCTCTCTAAATGGTCTCTTGAAGATGAAACTGGTATGAGAGAAGAGAAGGAATTGATACCAACAACTGGACCAAAATGGTAATGCAATTTTTCTAACTTCAAAACTTACTCCCCAAGGGTCTGTTAACAAGCAAGCCTCAGATCTGCAGGATCCTTTCCCCTCCTATTAATGTCATTTACTCTTTGTAAGCTGGGAATAGATCCCAGCTGTGGGGCTGGAGTGCAGACCTCAAGCTTATGGTAATTTGTGCGTGTGATTTTAATTAACTGTACCTTAGATTACACAGAGATTATCTTACGAGATCGTTTGAGCAGCAGTGAGTCTGCAGCATTAGAGACAGAAATGCAGTGCAGGTTAAGTTACCAGGCACAAGTTTTAATGCAAACAGAGAGGGAGGAGAGATCAGCCTTAAGGGGCAGGAGATGGGTTTGAATATTCCCAACAGTGGAGAGAAGGCATGTGCTGTTCTAAGGACTAGGCAGTTCAGTGCTGATGAGTTTGCTGTACAAATGTCTCTGCTGGAAAGGCAGTATAAAATAAACTGGAATATGAGCCGAGAGGAGCTGTTCATTAACTGCTTGTAGGACCGCAGAAAACTAGGTTTGGGAGAAATGAACTTATCTCTTGGCTTCCTCATGCTGACCAGATGTTTGTCACTGAACCAGGCAGTGGAATCTAATGCAAAAAAAAACAACAAAAAAAATCCATATACAGCAAGGGCAGAGTTGGTTGGACAGTGGACTTTGCTTTCTCATGCTAAGCATAATTTAGCCTCAGGAATCTGCCTTCTTAGCACCTTCCCTAAGAAGTGGAGCTGGGTATACCTCTCTAGAGGACAGCAAACACCTAATTTAACTTCTCCAAAGCAAAGCTTAAAGGTGCTTCTCTGTTTTTACCAGCTACAGTGGTGGAAGGACACTCTTATCTGCTCACATTGATAATTAGGGTGGTTGACCTAATGCATTGATGAATCTCACTCCTGCTCTAGCAGAGAGGCCGAGCTGGGGACTTGGACTGAAAATGTGGAATTGAAAGAGCATTAGGAAGGAGGGACAGTGCTTTCTAAAGCAGGGAGAGGGAGAAAAACTAGCCTGAGCACAGAGTGCTGCACAGAAAATGTACTAAGCGAAGAATGGGGAATATTTGTGTTTGTTTCTGGGTGTTTACAACATCCTTGGTTCTGTGGTGAAGCCACAGAGCTCAAACTCTTTAAAGGTAACCACGGCACATGGTTTGGTAGCAGAACACAGGGTCAGTTTTGAGAACATCATACATGAGAGCCTTGTTTTGGTGTGCGACATTTGGGGGTTGAATAGATTGGCCGCATTTTTACTTAAATCTGCTACCTCAGTGACACCCATGCCTTTGCTGTCTTCATCCAAAAGGAAAAACAAATTACTGAGAAAGAAAATTGGCTTTTTAAGCAGCAGCAGAGATACAGATTCTTTTCTTTGCCTGGAACTTTCTCAGTCTTGCCTTTTGTAGGGCTGAAAGGGCAGTAGAGAATATCCTCTCTGAAAATAATTGAAGGGTCTGAGAAGTGTGTGTCCCTGTCTTGAGTAAGTGAAAAAACTAGCTCTTCTGATTTCAGATTTGGCTTTAGGACTCACCTCATTTGACTTTTGGGCTTAGCATTGTTATGGAGCTTTTCACTGGAGCTGTCAAGATGGAAATTTTCTGTACATGTAGACGATTTTTCTGGCCTTGCATGAAATAACTTTGCCACATAACAAGGGCTTTAAACTCTTTATCTGAGGGCTTTACAAATCAAGAACAAAAAGAAAAAGCAGCAGATGACAGAGTGCTGCTACCCTGGCAGGGCTGAGGAACAGGGAGTCAAGGGAAGAAAGCCCTGGAAGGATTGTGGAAATGTGAGTTTTGGAGAAGCACTGGAGGAGATGGAGCAAGGGCCCAGTAAGCCAGGTTGTTCCAAGATTCAGGACCAGGGTCAGGGGATGGAAACCACGGATAGAAAATATCCAAAAGCTGGGCTTTTAATGCCACAGGGAAAACTGGAGAAACAAAGCTGTACATTGAGAAAGAAAGCAGGGAGACAAAAATGTGAACACTCTGAAGGCAATAGTGAGCAAAGTCAAAAGCAGTGGCTTTCTATAAGTAAAGATTGGATTTTTTTCTGCAATGAAAGGAAAGGACATAAAATCTCATCTCTGATGAGGTGGGAAGATAATTTCTCCAGATGAAGGAAGAAGTGGATACTGCAGGATCTCTCTCTGTAATACCTGCTTTTCCTCAGTAGCAACATAATATTTAACAATTTTTTTTTTTTAACCTTTGTTTTTTATTGTATCTGTGTATTGGGCACTTCGCTGCTGCGGGCCATTGTAGCTGAGAGGTTAATAAAGGTTTGCTCTCTGGATGACCTTACAAGAAACACTTGTAAGTGTTTGACAACTTTAATGTATTCTGCACTGCGTTTCAAATCCATGGGAGCCAGCACTAATATGCAAGTATAATGGGAAAGAAATTCCTCTCATTTAAATGACAGAGATCTGGTACCCATCTTGTGTGAACGAAATTCTGCTTGAATGGAATTCTTTCTTTTGTGAGTTTTAATCCTTTCCAGGTTTAACTTGCAAATCTATTCAGTGTATTGCTGTAAGATGAACAGCAAGATGGAAAGGTTGTAGGAGCACAACCCAGCTTTTACCTTGTGTTTGACCCTCACTTCAAGCCTAATCCATGCCTGCAGCTTCTAGGCATTGCTGCTGTGCAGAGCAAAGGAGATAAATGTGATGATCTTCACAAGAAAATCAGCATTTCTCTTCTCTTTAGCACTAAGGCATTGTTTAATTTTTATTAAATGAATGATCATCCCATGCCTTAGTTTTCCCAGTTGTTTGTCAGAGAACTTTGCCTTCTCAAAGCACTTTGAGATCTATTGGTGAAACAGTGGTGTAAAACAAAGGGTTTTTTGTATTCTTTTTCCTCTAATTATGTTTATTCCTGGTAGCGCATTTTGCCAAACAACATCTAGGGCAGGATCTATTTACAAACCTGAACTAGCAATGCCAGGGTGAGCTGAAAAGACAGAGGCAAAACAATAAGAAAAGCACTCTATATGCTGAGCCATGGTCGATTTTTGACCACTTTGACCCAGCCTGTTCCTTCTGCTTTGCTTATGTCTGTTCCCAGGTCTCCTTGTTGATCGTCCTAAGGAATTAAAAACAACAGGTCTTACAGCTACAATACCTCAGCTGTCCCTATGATTAAAAACTCTTAATTCATAAAAGGTGGTGTTTCTAACTTAGCATATTATTTGCAGGGAGATACATAAATAAATATAAAAATATATGTAATAACATATATATATAAATATTATGTTTAAACATTAAGAGAGACATTGAAAATAAACACAGGAAGCCTAGGAAAGAAGAGCTTAGCGATACAGTGAAGAATGCAATGCTCTGCATTTATTCATTCACTGGCAAACTAAATCACATCAAACAGCATAAAATGCAACTGCTCCAACACCCCTCTTTTTTTTTTTTTTTTTTTCAAAAAAAGCCCAGAAAGATTTCTGATAAACGAGACTTGCCAGCAGGAAATTTCACAGCATGTTCCAGGCACAGTAATACAGAAAGTGTGATCTGGGGGACCTGACTCATCCCAGAACTGATCCTACTGACGCATCTCTGGCTGAGCGCGTCTCACAGTGATGCTCCCGCACTCCCTGGAACACTTGCCGTGGGCATTGGCACTTCATTTGCCAGGGAAAATGCCCCGTGAAAGAGAAGGTACAGCTTTTACTGGCAAAACACTTCAATGACAAAAAACATCTCCTGGGGGTGAAACGTTTGTGAAGGTCCCTCCTGCATTAATGAGTTTAGCCATTAGCAAAGCACTCTTCCCTTGGGGTGGCCAGCCCCGAGTAAAATTCTCAGCCCTCCTAAAGATGATCCATCAGCAGCTACAGCACCACCATATCTGAGAACCTGCCTTAGGCTGTATGTGCTCATACCTCTCAACCTGGACATCATCATCTCAGAACCACAGAATACGCAGGAAATGTCACTTTCATGGACCACCAAGAACGGAAGATTTTTCTTTCCCCCTTTGAACAATGCAGTTTAAATTCAAATACACATATATATATATCACCAGACTGTTTCTCAATGTGCACATTTGTCACAGTAAACAAGCCAAATATAAGCAGTATCACCATTTATAAATGTGTATAACTAAGCTGAATGAATTAGCTGCCTCCATTCACAATCTATAGGTGCTACTGGTCGGTAGGAATGCCTGAAAAATATTTCATATCTATAGTAGGTCTAGCAAATTTGGATGGTGCCCTTTAACTAATAGCATTGCCATCAATTTTACCTACAAAGGTGCTGACATTTAAGTGTCTATTTTTATATTTGCTGAAGTTACAAGCAAAATGGAAAAAGCAAATTCGAAGAGCTATCTAAGGCTGCTTTGATCTGCCCACTGTTCCAGTGATGGGTTGGAGGATACATACATTACTCAGACGAAAAATATCCTGTAAAGTTTTGGATTTTCTGCAGTTGTTAGTGGGCACAAGACCCATTTCTCTCATTTCCTTAGAATAATAAATTCCTTAAGCTCTAAACATCTTCCCTTAGCTGAAAGGAGTCAGGATGTTGCGAACATCCTCCAACAGCCCCCCCTCCAAAAAAAAAAAAAAAAAAAAAAATCACATTTTCCATCCCCAAAAGGAAAAAATAGCCTTTTACCTCGCTTGTTCCCCTTGATGAATCCAAACAAGAGCCACATCAAAAGGCACTTGAGCTCCATGGGGCTTGTCCACATCTTTTCGCTGCACCGCTGAGGGATGGCGAAGTTTCTCAGAAGCGATGAGCTGCTGCCAGCCAAGCCAAGGGGCCGGTCACTGCATGGTTAGAGCTGTGGGGAGCATCACCCCGTGTGTGCAGGGAGGACTCTGGTCAGAAAACAGTTGTTTTGCTGTCTGTCTCCACAGGAGAGAATAAAGGCTGCTTTTCTGTTCAGGTATTAGTAGCTTTTATCCAGGAAATCAAGCTTCATGCTCGGCGTGGCAGAGCGTGCCGTCGCGAGTAGGAAGTGGTTTGACACATCAGAGCTGCTGACTCCAGAGCTGTTTCACTACAGCTGAGGTCAGTAGAAAGGGGTGAGATTTTAACAGGTTTGTGCAGGTACTCAGCTCCAAATCTGTGGCTGGATGGATATTGGAGAGGGACCATCGCTGTGGAATAGTTGTCTGATCTATGATGATGGACCTCAGACACCATCTGTGGGCTCTGTCTACAAAGCAAAGGTTCCATGGGCTATATTTTTGGGTTTTTGGAGGTCTTCTGCTAATGATGATAAAGACACTCTGTGTTTATTTCTGTTGTAAGCATGTTTGCAGTTTCTCTGAATCACAGCTGAGGTTCTGAATTATGGACAGTTTGATCAAACAAAAGAACCCATGAGGATGAGGCTGGCGGGTAGGGAAAGGTTTTGCCTTGTTCCTAAATTGTCTATGTGTGAAATGTTTCAGTGAAATTCTTCCAAGTGTCAGTGGAAAACTGGAAATTATCAAGGAAGTATCAGACTTCATGTAGTTTTTCTTTAGCCACTTCCACAGAAATTATTTCCTTCTAGTATCCAAAAAAGTAATTGGGATAGACTGCGGTAAAAGCAGATTTAAACTAACTGTGGTATTATATCATGATTACTACATACTGAGCATTTACTTCTGCCCTATAAATCCTTAATAAATTAGATCTCCTTAACAGGCATGCTAAGAAACTGATGTGATGCATTTTTAAATGCTGCTGCAGCTGCATCCATCAATCTCCTAACCTCTCTCCGGATGAAATCTCCCTCTGCCCTTTCCATGAAAGATTTTGTGCAGCTTCACTGATGCAGGTGACAAGTCCTCTTGGGGGGCTTGTCAGCTGCGAGGCTTTGACCAGGAGATCACCTCTCAAATCCAAATGCAGCAGGGCATGGAGAACAAGTAAACCTTCTGAAGCAAATGCTGTGGGCAAAACGCTCTGCTTACCCCAGAGCTGCTTCGTGCTCCACAGGTACTTACTGCCTTTGATTTAGTATCAAATCATCTTCCCTATTTAACAGTATAATAGGAAAAGCTCATGCCAAAGCCCACTGAAGGATTTAGAGAGTTTTACTCCTGAAAAAAATGTCTGAAAGTCTTAGACCCCAATTCTCTACCTTTTTCCAAGATGCCTGGATATATGCAACTGCCTGAACTCTGCAGCCACCTGGGCTGGTAAAACACATTTGTTATGTTGTCCAGAAAAAATCCTTTACTTTTAATGACATTTTTTTTCATTTCCTCACTAAACATGGGGTCTGTTCTTTGGAGGTGCAGGGATTTACTCCACAACATATGCTTCTAGTTCTTGCCTGACCAATCTATTTAATTCCATAGCTGTTTGCACGATGAAGACAGAGATGGGGGACCTTTTCTGCAGTCCTTCAGCTCAATCTTTCATGTAGCCATTTGCTTTCAAGCAGCAAATCTCAGTGTAGATGGGTAACAGGCACTTATATTTTGTCAGAAAGGGTGAGTTTTCATCCAGGTCTGAACATGAAATGTGAGTTGTAGTGGAAGGAACGGTGACCCCAGGTGGCTAATTGCTGCAAACACAGTTTGCATGAGAAAGACCCATAACTCGGGGTTTAAGCCCTTTAAAGGTCAGGAAAAAAATTGGTTATGGCTTGTGAAAGGAATTAGTCAGGTCAGCTTTGTGAAATAGGTCAGTTTGCTAAATGATTCCAGGAAAAAAAAAAACAAAAAACAATGGTGCTTCTGCAAGGAACTGACCCAAGACAGAGCAAGGCAGAGAAAGGCAGGGTGAGAACAGAGGGACCCAGAAAGGGGGAAAGGTATCCAGGCACAGGAAAAAAAAAAAAAAAAGGGCTTATGAGAAAAAAAATCCTATCTAGCATTATAATTTAGATGATAAACGTGAGATATTAGCAACAGAATTAGGTGTGGCAGTAAAGGAGGGGACGCACTGTGAAAACTCAGTGGATACCTGGAAAGTGGTGGAGGGAGATACAAAAAAAAAAAGCAACTTGAGCATCTAGGAAGGTGTAGGAGGAAAAGAAGGTGCTGCTGTTTCTGTTGCTCGTTGACTTTCTTCCGTTGATCACCAGAGTTTTGCTGCTGGGAAAAGTTCTCTGCTTCAGCAGAGAGCTGGGAGGAAAGGAGCCTGTCACGTAGCTCAGGCCACCACAGATAAGTTTATAAAGATTATTTTTGTTCAATGCCACAAGACCACAAAAGATGCACAAATGGAGTTGTCAGGGAGTAAACCACAGGCACAGCTCACAGCTCCAGCCTTTTTTTTGGTCTAGGTTTAACAAGGGCCTTTTGAAATCCTTCAAGTGCTTTTAAAACTCTTTGTGCACAAACTCATTTGGTCTGGAGGTCTGTCCTTTCTTAAAACTGGTTTCTAAGCCAACTGTGATCTTGCTGCAGCTCTTCTCAGTTCAAAGCAGTGGTAAGCATCCATATAATTCACTAAAATAAACAAGCTTTGTGCTTTCTTCTATTTTTTTTTTTCTTTCTGTGAATCACTCTTACACAAATATTCTATTCAAGGGAATAACATTTTATACTGACCTTCCTAGGGAGGGTCTGGGGGTGGCTTTAATAGCTGAGTAAACTCTGTAATCAGTACTGCTTATATGTCCTTAAAAGTATGGTAATCGTGATTGTAGACTCACAGGATGCACAAGGGCCGCACACAGGGCCCTTCCCAACCTCCACAGCAGCATCCAGCTCTGCTGCAAAGCAGAGAAATGGGGAAGCCTTAGTTATACTGAATCCCTGAAATGATCATCAGAAATTTTTCATCCAGTCTAATTATTTATAATGGTCAAACTGGTTTTAATCACTTTTTCTTTCCCCTAAAAGCAAGACAGAACCAACAGGAGGCACACAAATTTCTCATCTTAAATGAAGCATATTTGCAAGGATTTGAGTTCAGTTCAAGAGGGAGTTCTATAGTCAGCACAGTTGTCAAAGTTCCCCCTCGAGTCAATGGAGAGTCAATAAGAGCATCTAGAGAGTGATTCACCTCCTCTTCTAGACATCCACTTAACCAGATGAATCACTCTTCTTAACTTCTCTACCTCCCTCCCTCCAATCTGCACACAGTGGTTCAACCAGCATAACCAGGTTAAACCAAACATGGGTCTTTTGGGCAGCTTCAGCTGCATGAGACAAATCCAACCTGAAAACCCCTACTGAATTCAGAAATAGAATTTAAATTGCTTTTTTAGTGACTGAGAACAGTCTTTCCTGTCAAATATTCTGGATGTGGTTCATTATACTCTTATTAATTATTCCTTTCACTGATTTCACTGAGTCCTGTGATAAATTATGTGAGGACCATAAAACTGAAAGGGGCCTTGCAAACCCAGTACTCAGTGTTGGGCTAAATCCATCAGTCAAATCCTGCTTTGTTGGTGCCTGGGGTTAAACCAGAACATCATCATCGTGCTGGGGTTTTTTGGCTGTTCTGCAGAACTATCAGGTTGGTATACAGCTACAGCCAAAAATCCACCAGAAATCAAACACCAAGCACATTATTATTACAATAAAACAGTGTCTAATGAGCACATCTGGAGGAGACTGAATTTTTAGTCTCTTTCTCCTCAGACTTGGTGTCCCGCTGAACTCCTGGTTCATGTGAAAAACTCTTGATATATTTAGTTTCTATGTAGTGAGTACTGGCACAACCTCCTTAATACACCACTGCCTAGATTGGGTTCTTCAATATTTCCCCATGCAAATACAACTGAATAGTACAGATAACTTCCTTCCTATTATTACTTGCAATCACAATCCTTTGGCCTGAGCAGAAAAAAAAATCAGGAACTTAAACTAATAAAGGAAGCGTATTATTGCAAAATCATACTTGTTCTTTCTCTCCTCCTTTTTTACTATCAAATATATTAATGAGGTATATTTAATGCTGCAAAGTGCACAAGACTGAAGACATCCTCTGCAGTGAGCTCCTTACCCAAGGCACCCTGTCTCACTGCTTGATTTCAGGAAGAATTTTTACATTATCTGTGAAGTTATGGAAATATAACCTAGAAGAATCGCGAGTTGAGCACAAAAGTGATTGGAGAATCCCTGAAAAGAAAGTGCCCTTAAAATGGCTCAGAGCTGTGTCAGATATAAGAGCATGTTGAGTGGCACTGATTAAGTGTCGGAAGAGAAGGATGCATTGAAAGGTGGTCCCCAGGTTAGAATGTGGATTTCTGGTATTCAGCATTTTCAGCAGTTACCTAGATGATGAATATAGACAAACTTCACTGAATTTGCAGAAGATACTGGGCCAGGAGAAACTATAGAGGGCAGGAAAGAAATTCAAAGTGACCTCAATTACGCTGGACAAAAAAATAAAGATGCAGTTTAAAGATAAGTGCAAGTGTTATACATAGGCAGGATAAAACAGTGAAATGGAGTAGTGGCATCACTGATTAGATACCTGATCTTCAGAAAATGAAGCAGGGCTTGCATGCAGAAGACCAACTCAAAATGTCACACAGTAAAAACTTAAATCTAGCTCCAAAATGTACAAGTGCAAAGAACCCCCTTGTTCTGTGCTGGGACAGTGAAGATATGGATATGGTGCTGTGCCTAATTTTGGGCACTACATACTGATAAAAACACGGAGAAGCAGAAGACAGTTCAGAGGAAAGCAGCGAAAATGACAAGATAGTCTAGGGAACCTCTTCTAAAAGGAAAGACTGGATACCTTCAGACTGTCTGACGAATGATGATAAAGAAGGGGACTAAATAAGAGCCTCAGCAGTGGTAGTGATAGAGCTGACCTAGGCATGGAATAGATGACCCCTCAAGTCTTCTTCTAGCACTACATCTAGGGGCTGGTAAGGACTGTGCTCTTCCTCCTTTTTAAACTCACAGCCC